AAAAAAAAAAAAAAAAAAAAAAAAAAAAAAAAAAAAATCCAGGGACTTACGTATATCTCATTGATGTCGTATCTGGATTTCAAATTGTCGAGGACTCCTGGCTCGTGCAAGTACGCCAACTTTGTCATGTCATCGACCCCACAAGGTGGGGCCTCAGTATCCTTGGGATAGACATTAGAGGACTTGGCCACGACCTGTGGGAAAGAGTTGATAGTCATTCTCACTCATTAAGTAATTAAACATGAATATGTGAATGTAGAAGGAAAAAATTCTTGTCTGAATTCTCCATAATGAGCAAAGAATGAATTGAGAACCCCATGGCCACTATGAAGATCCCAGTAACTTTTTCTTTTTCACTTATGTATCATTTACATTTTACAACAACAACAACAACAACAACATACTCAGTATATTCCCAACAGGTTCGGATCTGGGGGGTCAGTTGTACGCAGACCTTACCCTTGTATCATTTACATTTTAAAGATACAAAATATTTTGATTCATAAAGAAGAGGAAGCAAAAAAAGACAACCAAAAAAAAATTATGTAGCGACAATAAAGTCGCTGAATATAGTTTATAATATTTTGCTGTTCTTTTGTGCCCTCTAGCCAAATTAGTCTTCCATCATTAGTCCAATTATGAACATGAAGGCTTCTTCAAACTAATACAAACACGCTGTGTTTGAGAATGATACGCCATTTCTCATGCATTATGAATTGAAATGAACCGGAAATGCAATGGCTGAGAACGACTCATAACTAAAAATAACTCAGAAGAAATGTGTAGTAAATATGGCACCTCTCGAAGATGGTGATGAAGACACTACTCACCGTCTTTCCCGATGTACAAGAAACTTTGATGTCTTCACCATTTACGGCTATAACCTCACCATCAATCCATGCCTCATCAGGGTCCTCGACCCACACGAGAGACCCTACTCCTAAATTGACTGGAGCAACCTGCAAAAGTTCCACAAAGATGAGCTATGAACTCAAAGGGCTGGATATTAATGACCAAAAAGGATATGGTCATTCTTTGACTTCATAAAGACCAGTTCTAACAAGGCACTTAAATCCCCGAATAAAATCTACCAAAACAAAAGGTTATCAGGTCCACCAAAAAATGCACATTTTGGAGAAACTTGCATGATTCATAAGATGTGTAGCTTAAAGCTGTATGAATGTTTCTCTAAGAAAAATGAGTATAATTTTTTGTTACTTGGAAGTGTATGAGAGAACTTCAGAATGTCAGTTGCAACTCCATTGAGGTTCGAATGATGCTGGTACCAAAACAAATATTACAAAACCACGAATCTTTAGGTTGATCTACTTTGATAAAAACATGTTTATAAAAGCACAGATCATTTGACTGATCGGACTTGATAAAACTATATTGGTATCGAATATTTTTGAAAGCATAAACCTTTATGTTGGTCGGCCTAAAAAAATGAAAAATCAGCAAGCAGTGAAGTTTAGATTAAAAATGAAAATTTCCACATTTTGTGTTGTGGAGGAACAACTGCAAGATAAAAGGCTGTGGGAGTAAGATAATAACTAAAAAAAAAAAGAAAAGCTCTTAAATTAGCTTTCATTAGGAAATAAAAGATGTTAAATGAATTGAAGCTAAACAAGAAAATGATAAGGATAAAATCCAAGCACAGTCAAATGGCTATTAGAGGAAATTAACAAAGAAAAAAGGACAAAGAAAAACAAAACCAAAGAACATCACACCTAACTATCCTCAACAACTTGGTCTAAATATAAAACTAGTGAATTCTTATGGGCAATTACCATCAAACTAACACATTTACATTTCCCAAAAAAAAAGAAATGAAAATCAGGGACCATTACAAGTTTCTCAATCTTGAAAATATGAAACCAAATATCATTTCAAATTCCCAAGACATCAAGATGAATGTAATGAACTACACTGACACCTATAAGGAGGATGAAAAAAAATTAAAAGAACAAAAAAAACTCAGATATAATGAATAAAAATCCATTCTTGAAAAAACAAAACCGCATTTCAGTTCATGTTTCCATGAAAAACATCAACATCCCATCAAACAACATCATAAGATTAATCAACATAACGTGCATCTCAAAAAAACAAAAACAAAAGTCCCAAATGAATAAAGTCCACTACCATCTTGTAATAAAGTCCAATCGGATCGGAAAACTTCAATGCCGCCTCGATTAGCCTTCAGACATCAAGAAACAATACACGAACCAAAAACAAACAACAGAGCACAAAATGCAGATCAAAACTACTGCCCCCCTCCTCCTTAAATAAATCAATGAGAAAATCTACCCAACAAATTCACTTCAATCTTGTAACATTCTTAAACAGCAAAAAAATCTCTGCAAATCCTATTGCCCTTTGACTCCTTACAATAATCCGAGGATAAAAAATATTACAGCAATATGAAACAAAGATCTGGAAGCTCAATGAGCTTTTGTATTTACACCACTCTTATTCTTTTTCTTTTTCTTTTTTTCAATGAAAAATCGGAGAGGTGTAGAGGTTTAAATGAAGTATGCAGAGAAACAAATGGAGAAGATAAATTAAATTAACACTTTTAAACCCCTTTTTTGCTCCGCTAAGCAAATACAAATGGCGTTTGAGAGGAAAAAAAAAATGTATATTTAAATGGAAAAATAGAAATTATTTCCTTTGATTTTCTAGGAAAGTCTTTTTCTCTCCTCTCCCACGTCGTTAGGGATTTTTAGACCTTTGTATTCTGTTTAGTTACTGAAATCTATTAATTATTACAAACTTGGTCGTTAATTAATCAAGAACAGTAGAAACGTTTGTTAAAATCTTTAATGAACTGGAATTCCATTTATGCCCCTGAAAGACAGCCATTATTTCGAATCGAGGATTGTTGGGCCCCGAATAGGTTAAACGGGCCCGGTATTTAAAATTTTTGGGGCGGTTGGGTTGTTTTTCTGTGCAAATTGTGCATGTGTATAAAATTACAAATTTTTGTATTAATCGGACAAACTGTTGCAACGATAGATTCTTGATTTTTTAGTTTATGAAATTCCAGTTTAGTGCATAATTTATGTTATACATTTTTTAGTGTAACAAAAACACATAGTTATATTATACATGTCATAATTATTATTTTGTGTATAAATTTCAGTTAACAATTACATATATATATATATAATATATTAAAATTGTCTGATAGACAGTTTTAATATGGAGTCATTAGATGACTGGACTTATGGAATTATCGATTGTTATTTAAAAATGATGTATTGATACGTGTTATTCAATTAATACACATTGGGCATGTGTCAGTGCAGAAATATGGATTGCTCCATAATGGAGCCATAGTAGCTCTATGGTATTTCTTACAGGAAAAAAAATGTATGTAGATTGTTTAGAAGAGTGATTATGAAAATAAGATGTAGGTAGTCACTAAGTACAATTTACAGCGTAAGTTGTTGAAAGTTCTTAAAATTTTGAAAGGAAGAAATTATGTATTTAAGGAATATTACTAGAGGACGAATAACTATTTTGCTTGTTTAGATGGTCGTTGTGTATAATAATTTTTTTTTATTTTTTTTTTTGGCAACTTAAGATATATCAATTGCGGATACGAATTAAAAAAAAAGTACGTTAAATTTCATCTCATATTTTTTTATTTATAATACCCCTAGAATTTTATAAAAATATAATAATTATATTATATATTTTCAAACAAATTACAATATTCATTAATAACTATTTGTAATTTTAATATAATACATCAATTCTGATTGTTCTATCTTTATCTAATATCAAATGATATTCAAATAATATTTTATTGTCTTATATAAACAACTAGTATTTATACCAATGCGATGGACGGAATATATTACAAAAATATTTATTATTCAAATACTGTTCAATTATTTTAGAATTACATCAACTCTAATTGACACTATGTGTCAAGTTAATAAAAATGTAAAAATCATTTAAATGTTCTTAATATTTTAATTTATTTTTGGAAATTTTGATTCTTTAATATATAAATTTTATTATTTACAAGTTTATAAAATCACATATATGCCTAAAATATTAAGTTTGATGCTTTTATACAAATTACTTGCATGTACTTATAAAATTATATATATATATATATATATTTAAATCTTGTATATTTTTTTTAACAATTCAAAATTTACATATTTGTTCGATAATTGTTTATTCATAAATTTATTATTATTTAGTATAATTATAAATTCGTCAAATATATGTTTCATGATTAAATTTTAATTTTTAGTAATTTTATTCTATTAGAATATAATACCACTCGTGAGTTGTCTCACATCGTTTATACAGGGAAAATAAGCATAACTTATAAGTCTAATGGGCTACTCTTCCTACTACCAATTTCTTTTAGGATGAAACCTCACTATGGTCATCTAGGCTCACCCTCTTATGGCGCGTTTCACGTGTGGGACCGCACCAGTTTCCCCCCTGATTTTTACATGGTATCAGAGAGGGCCTACATGGAACCTGCGATGACGTACTCGTTTCCCCTGAGCTACGTTGCCTTGGACTTCGTATGAATGACTCACAAGTGAGGGGGCGTATTAGAATATAATACTACTTGTTAATTAGTTGTCTCAAATCGTCTCTACATGTAAAATATACCTAATTTATAAGTCTAATGGACTACGACGCTTCAGGTGCATGGGACCGCACCCATTTCTCCCGATTCTTACACGCTCATGCAACACAAATTTGTCATGACAAAATATTTTATTTTTTCTTGGTTACATTTATTTATTTATTTATCAACATATATCATGAGTAAATTGATAAATATTTGAATATTTACACACACAAACATATTATATATTAATTATCACCAGATGTCATGATTTTAGTTTTGATACTTGACTTAATTATTTTATTTACTCACTTTTATTTAAAAAATAAATAATTAGAAGTATAATATTTTACATCTTGAATCGTTTTTATAATGTATATAGACATTCTTGATGTGAAAAAATTATAATTCTTGATTTCACCCGACCATCAAAATAATAGTTATATTAATATATTATTTTAATTCATCAATATTATCAATGCACTTAATATAATCAATGATGATTTATCCTTTCATGGTAAGGTTGACTATATATTTTATCCAAATTTATTAATATTGTAAATCATTCACTTAATTAAATTATTTCAGACATATTACTTTGAGTATATCTTCATATATTTTACGTGTTTCTAAGCAGTGAACATAGTTGCTAAAATTAATATTTACAACCAGATAATAAGAATTAGTCATTGTATAATTATAATGAATATATTCAATTAATTGTGTCAACAAGTTACTATGAAATCAAAATTAAGATCTTATTGTAAATTTATGCAATGATCAATAATTATCTTTAAGTTACTTTATAATTAATAAAATACTAACCATTGCATAGATTTTATTATTTATAAGTATTATTAATTAATAATGATTAATCCTTCCATATATATTAATTCAAAACATGTTGAGACTAAGTGACAGATTCTCAAGTTTCGGATGATGACATGGCAAAAATCTATGCTTCGTAATATAATGTGTTTATATATTCATTTTTGCTATGAATTTAGGCTTGGTATTAGACATAAACAACTTTTTTCAAACTTGGTAAGTGTGTATTTAATTTAGTTATTTTTTTCTCTTAGTACACATTTTCTTCTTAGTTTAGGCAAGTAGTAATCTTACCATATTATAGTTTTCTCTTATATTTCTCTCATAAATTACGATTTACAAATCACTTTCTGCATTATTTATTCCTATTTTTTTCATCAATTAGTCCATCAAAATTTTTAATAAAAAATTTATTTTAGCAATAATTTTTAGCATATATTTCTTAACTCAACACCCGTGTAGTACACGGGTATTGTACTAGTTATATACTAAATATAAATGATTTTCCTGCCCAAAACCATGTCAATTATGACAATATGGATTGGTCTATTATCCAATGAGAGTATTGTTGATGTTGTTACTCAAAGTGAGCCTGTTCCTAAAAAGCAGAAAAATACCCAAATTGTCTCCGATATTGTGGTGGAGGAAACCAGCCATAACTGGTCCCAAGTTTCCAAATGAGAGTTTTGGTGTGGAATTGTAAAGGTTTGGGGGGACCCTCTACAATTTCTCAGTTGAAGGACAATGTCAGAGCCTACCTCCCTGATTTCATTTTCCTTTCTGAAACCAAAAAGAAGAAGTCTTTTGTTACTACTGTTTGTAAAAACTTGCTTGTAGGTGATAGATGGAAGTGTGTTGACCCTATTGGTAGTAAAGGGGGTCTTCTTTTGTGTTGGTCTTCCAAAATTCAGGTTCTAGAAGTTGTTGATAATAACTTCTGTTTTGAAGTCAAATTTTTGCTAAATGGTTTTGCTGATCCTATGTGGGGAGTGTTCATTTATGCCAGTGTTGATCCTTATTTTAGACAGAAGCAGTGGGAGCTGCTCATTAGGCATCACCTTACCTGGGGTAATCTTTGGTTCATTGGGGGGGATTTCAATGACATTCTTAGTAATGATGAGAAGAATGGGGGTTTGGTGAGAGGGGAAGCTTCTTTTCAATCCTTTAGACATTTTACCCAGCTCCTCAATTCAGTAGCCTGTCCTAGTGTGGGTCACCCCTTCACCTGGTCAAATAACAGAAAGGGTAAGGATTTTGTTGAGGTCCAGCTTGATAGGTTTCTTCTTTCTCCTGATTGGCTCCTCAAATTCCCTAAGGTCTCTGTCCTGCACATTCCACTTGTTTCTTCTGATCACAGTCTATTGCTTATGGACATTGTGGGAACAGAACAGAAAAGGAAGCATAGGTTCTATTTTGATAGAAGATGGGCAAAGGAGGAGGGGTTTGATGAATGTGTCAAAAAGGCATGGAAGATGCAAGTCACTGGTGCAGGCCTGTATAGCTTTCAAAAACGGTTGAGAAATGTGAAATTTGGCTTATTGGGATGGCTGACCTCAACTGCTACAAATTCATCAAAGATTATAAAGGAGTGCAATGCCAAACTGGAACTGCTCAGTAGTCAAGGTGGCGCTAGAGAATGGACGGAATGGTATAGCTGCAAGGAAAAAATCCACAAAGCCTACAAGGATGAAGAGCTTTACTGGAAACAAAAGGCCCGGGTTAGATGGTTAAAGGAAGGGGATAACAACACTAGATTTTTTCAAGCCTGTGTCAATCAGAGAAGGAGTATGAACAGCTTAGAAAATCTTCTCAAAAGAACTGCTGGCAGATGTACCAATCAAGCTGAGGTTGTGGAAGAAGTGTCCAATTTCTTTGAACAGCTTTTCAGTTATGAGTATGTTGATGGTGATTCAGAGATTCTACAGGGCCTTCCTTGTGTCATTACAGCTGGAATGAATCAAGACTTAACTAAGGCTGTGGATGAAATGGAGATCAAGAATGCACTGTGGGCCATGGACCCAGGTAAAGCCCCTGGTATTGATGGGTTCTCCCCCTCCTTTTTTCAATCATGTTGGCATATTATTAAGACTGATTTATGCTTGGCTGTCCAAAATTCTTTTGTCACTGGTTGTATTCCAAAGGCCACCAACCACACTGTTATTACTCTAATCCCAAAAACCAAATATCCAAAATTGGTTACTGATTACAGACCTATTAGCCTCTGTACCATTACCTACAGACTTATTGCTAAAATTCTTGCACTCAGAATTAAATCTGTTATCAAATTTTGTATCTCCCAATCTCAGACAGCTTTTGTGCCTGATAGACAAATTCTTGATAATGTTATTATAGCTAATGAATGCCTTCATTTTCTTAAGGGAAAAAAAAGAGGGAAAAAAAGATATATGGCCCTTAAACTAGATATGGCCAAAGCTTTTGATAGAGTTGAATGGCCTTTGTTATTAAAATCTGCAAGCACTTGGGTTTTTGCAATAAATTCCTGAACTGGATTTGGTCTTGTATTAGTTCTTCATCCTTTTCTTTTAACTTGAATGGCCAAAATCAAGGGCAGGTTGTTCCTTCAAGAGGTCTGAGGCAAGGAGACCCACTATCTCCTTACCTGTTTATCCTTATTACTGAGGCCTTGTCCAATCTCATTCACCGCGCTTGCTCATCCCATTCATTTAAAGGCCTCAAAATTAGCAAATTTTCACCCAGTATTTCTCACCTATTTTTTGCTGATGACAGCTTAATTTTTTGTCAAGCTGATAGTTATCATGCTGCTTTATTGCTGCAAATTTTGCATTCCTATTGCTCAGCCTCTGGCCAAGCTGTAAATTTCATAAATCTAATATTTTCTTTTCTGCTAATACCCCTATTCAAGATCAGTCTCAAATTTGCCAAATCCTCCAAGGAATTGCCGTGGCCAGAAGCTCTAAATACTTGGGTCTCCCAATGGGTATAGGCAGGAACAAAAAAGAAACCTTTGCTTTTGTTTCAGAGTGTGTGTTAGCTAGGGTTTCTAATTGGAAAAATATATTTTTGAGTGAGGCCGGAAAAGAGATATTAATCAAAACTGTGTTGAGTGCCTTGCCTCTTTATGTGATGTCTGTTTTCAAGCTTCCTGTTGGTATTTGCTCTGATATTTGTAGAGAAGTAGCTAGGTTTTGGTGGGGCAAGAATGGGGAAGGGGGAGAGAAAATTCACTGGGCTAGTTGGGGTAACCTTTCTAAGTCCAAAAAGGAGGGAGGGCTGGGATTTAAAGACTTAGGAATCATGAATGAGGCCCTGATCTTAAAGCAACTCTGGAGAATGTTAACTAAGCCTAACACATTAATGAGCAGAGTGATGAGAGGCAAATACTGGCATAACAAAAACTTTCTTGAGGTTAGGAAAAAAGATTCTGATTCCTGGTTATGGAAAGGGTGGCTTGATTGTAGACATTCTCTGACTTTGGGGTTGAGATACCAAGTGGGAAATGGCCACTCAATCAATATCCAGACATCCCCCTGGATTCAAAACTCAAATGGCTTTAGACCTACTGTTTGTTTTGCCTCTGACAGAATTGCACTTCAAAAAGTTTCTGACTTAATGGTTGCAGGGGAACATAAATGGGACAATGAGCTGATTCTTCAGACATTTACTCCCACAGATGCTGCACTTATCCTTCAAACCCATATAAGTCACTGTGACACTCAAGACAAACTTATTTGGCATTCAGATAAGAACGGAAAATTCACTGTTAAGGCTGCTTACCATACTATTCTCCTCTCAAAGCAGGAGCATCAACAACTTGCAAAAACCAGCAATGCCAGGACAGATAACCAGAAGATGTGGCAAAAGGTATGGCATCTTCCAATCAAGCCTAAAATCAAGAACTTTCTGTGGAGATGCCTACATAACTGGATTGCAACAAATTGTGCTCTAAGGAAGAGAAAGCTGGATATTGATGTGAAATGTTGTTGGTGCACTGAAGAAGATGAAACACTAGAGCATCTTATGTTCCATTGTATTAGAGCCAAAACTGTCTGGAAGCTTGCTGGGTTGGCCTGGGACTGTTTGAATGACAAGGGCATTACATTTTCAGGATGGTGGCTAACCTTGTGCAACATGAAGGACCTGGAGCATAATAGAAACAGAATTTCTCTCTCAGTTTATCTCCTATGGTGGATGTGGAGAACAAGGAACATATGCTTGTTTGAAAAGGAAGTGATCTCTGAGCCCCAACTGGTTGCAAAAGCAAAACTTGAATGGCTGGAATTTGAGGATATCAAGTTTGGTCAACATCTTCTCAAGCCAATAAAATTGATTGTGGGCTCTAGTGCAAACTCTGATGAGGTGCAAGGAATAGGGGAGCTTCCTCAAGCTGCCAGTGTTAATGCCTCTCACTCGGAGATTTGTGTTTTGAAGGGGACAGCTTTTCTGGCAAATACTGAGGTGGCCTGTTGGAGTATGCCCTTTACTGCCTTTCAGCAAAAATCTAAAGCTACTTTCTTTTCTGAGCTGCGGACAAGGCTGGAGGAGGGGCTCATTTTAGGATGGCAAAGGATTATGCTGGAAATTAAAGACAAAGGCCTGCATCAAATATTAGCGGGTGAAGCTCTCTGCCTTTTGGAATCTGCAATTCTAGTAGAAGACATTAGAATTTTATTGTCTCGGTTTTCCTCTTGTTCTCTTATATTCTGTGTTTAGGGAGCTGTTTTTCCCTTTTATTATTGTTTGTTGTATGTGTGTTGTTGTTCTTGGTTTTTTTTTCTTTTCTGAGGCCATAGTTGGTCCTTTAGGTTAGCTCAGAGTTGAGCTTTCCCTAGCATGTCGCTTTGAACCGTGATATGTTGCGGCCCCTTGGCTGTCCCTGTTGTACATTCGAGTTTCTTTTATCTAATTTGATGTTTGTTAAAAAAAAAAAAANATTGGTCTATTATATAAATATAGATATAGATTTCTTCAAACTTTCCAATTCTATTTCAGAAAAAATAAAACTTTTTTTTTGTTAATGTGAAGCAGTTTAACGTTTAGTCAAGCAAACCTATTATACATTTTCAACAAAAATGTGTACTCATACTATTATATATCATGTATTATTATTTATGCTAATGCTTAACGTATAACATTTCAATACATAAAACATACATTATTATTAAATGGAAGTCTGAATATATGAATGATTGTGATTTTAAATAATGTATATGTATATCTACTATCACATTACATAATCTATCTATCATTATATAAAAAGAATAACCTTTTTACAAATTTAAAATATTTTCCCGCCAAAATCATTAAATATACCCTACATATAGTAATTGTTGAACAATTTTGAATAGGCAAAAAAATCAGCTCATTAATTGTGTAAAAATTTGTTTCTCTTTTTTCTGGTTTTTAGTTTATCAAAACTGTTGTTTGACAATAAATATTTATTTTTATTTTTCATATTTTTAGTATAAATTTACACGAGCTTATCTCTTCTGTTACAAATTCTCATTGCATACATGTTTAAAAAATCTCATCCCTTATCTATACAGATTTGAAAAAATAAAATAAAATATAAATCAATTCATAATTACTACTAGAGATCCATTATCTTTAAAAAGAAAAAATAAAATAAAATATAAATCAATTCATAATTACTACTAGAAATCCATTATCTACTTAATTACTAATATTTTTACAAATATTATAAGCTAACCACCAAAAAAGTATAATAATAATTTTGAAATGGTGTGTAATCAATTTTTTTTATATTCTCTTATACAAAATAATTTTACCCCGAATCTTTAATTTATAATTATTAAGTATTGTTTATCCTCCTCTTTAATATATAATTATTTTTTTTCTTTCTCTTTTTAAATAGGATCAATAGTAGTTTCCACTTCCGCTATTAAGTGACTGAAACTCGAAGTCTATTTATAATATTGTTAATTTAATATTGTTTCCACGTGACTAGTTTTATTTGGTTGGTTTTCACAAATAATTGATACTATGGATGGATACATCAGGAAGCAAATAGAAGTACGTATGAAAAAGGCCTTTGACCTTTGTAGATTAATGATTAGGTTTCATACATAGTCTGCACGTCCTTTGTTGAAGACAACCTAAACAAAAACGCTTGTTCTTTAAGCGGCCCAGATCACAGCTTATCCACGTCTGCTCAATCTAAACCGTCCCATATTGACAGGACCGCGACCGACGGGTCAAAAGGTCACGTGCTGAACGGAGCTAGCGAGTAGGGTACTAGGATTGGTGCCTATTTAATTTGGTGGGCCCGTCGTTTATGTATTCTAGAGATGGGTGTCTAATTTGAAGCCCATTACGGTCAGGGCTGGTGGCCATGCACTAGATTAATATTTACGGGAAGCAATGGCATTCTAAGCCCAAGAGATAAGCCAAGATCTTTACCAGGCTTTACAAGTGACCCCAGTTTATTATAGAGAAAATTACTCTAGGAACGATACTTTCCTACGTTTATTGCATATATACATAACATTAATTTTATTAGCAAAAATAACAGAAAGTTACATTATATTTGTATATATATAATTTATTTAAACTGAGAAGTGATTGACGATTTTATTTATTATTATTTAACATGTAAGTTGAGTTATGTTAGGCAACATGCGGATTTAATGGGATTATTACCAAAACACTCAACACTTTTCTCGATTGCAGTTATCAATCCTCCTCTCTAATAACCTATTTCACCTCTTTATTTTATCTGTACAATTTCACCTCTTCTGGCCGGAAAGTACTAGGATCCTAGCAAAAAAAAAAAAATTACGAAAAATTATATATCCCTCTCAAGGCCGACGATAATCCAACTCGTGGTGGTGGAAAAGAGCCACAAGTCAGATCCAGTTCTCGTCTTCGAGATATGAAAATTAATGTCAACCGAAAGCTTGTTGAGAAGAAGCTCCAATTCGGGCATCACGAAGAGTAGAAGAAGCTCCAACCGGAGCCAAGTCCTACCGTAAGGTGCTCAGGACATCATGAAGCCGGCGATCCGCCGCCTGGACTGGAGGGGTGGCGTCAAGCACATCAGCGGCCTCATCTACGAGGAGATGCGCGATGTCTTGAAGATCTTCCTCTAGAACGTTATCCGCATTTTCGTCACGTACATTGAGCATGCCCGCCGGAAGACCATGATTTCCATAGATGTTGTGTTGTGGGATATGTTGCGTTTATTCAATATATGTATGATTAATGACTCATGATGTTTCAGTTTTTTTGAGAATTTTTTTTTCGTTTGATTTATTGCATTGTCGGATATGTTGTGTTTATATACAATATATTTTTTAGTATATGTTTCCGTACTCAAAATCGGCAGTATATGTTGCGTGTATAGGCTGTATATGTTCACATATGTGTTCGTATATCACAATTCAAATGGATAGTCGCGTTTATATTATGTATGTTTTCTGTATATATTGTGTTCTTCACCATCTCGTTGGCACTATATTTATTTCCAAGTTGAAATCATCATTTCAGAAGACATCTGAAATTTACACAGAATAAGTTGAAATCTTAATTATGTACAAATTCTGTAAAATTTCTCCGCGTTTATATTCAAAAATTTTTTTTTTAATTAATGAAAGAATCCCGTCAGTTACATAACTCCTTAATTTTTGTTTGGCCGTTATATTGTAATAATTCAAATAATTATGTTAAGTTAGGCATACTTGCAAATAAGTTTTCAATTTTGTATTTCTGCAATTATTTTAAAATCAGTAACGTATAAGTGTAAATCTCCCTTTATACCGTCTCAGGAATTTCAATTTGTTGTTTAATTTTGAAAACTTGAAAGTGATAATTTTTTTTTTCTTTCATTTGAAAAATTAAACATAACTTACAGTATTATTATTATTATTATTATTAATTAATTTCAGTTGGAGTCCAACTCAATGTTCGTTATTTTTTGTTGGTTGATGATTATTTTCCAATTGAGTATATGTTTATTGATCATCTAGTCAATGTCTATTTATAGTCTCCCTCATGGACTAATACGTCCACTGATGTGGCGGCGATCACATATTATATACGGTGTATAATATTTAAAGCACGAGATTATAACATATGGCTGGTGGACACATCATAATGTGTTATAGACGAAGCCTGTAAGTAAGATCGACAAAAAAGGCAATTGTCAAGACATTATAAATGCATATTGGATGCTCCTGAATGTAGTGATACAAACAAGCTGAAAAATTCACATTGGAAAGCTTTATGGAAGCTCAAAGTTAAGCATAAGTTAAGACACTTCATTTGGAGATGTCTTAATGATTGCTTGGCAACGGGTCTGAATCTTAACAAGAGAAAAGTGCGGTCCGATATAATTTGTCCTATGTGTGGGGAAGAGGAAAAAGTGTTGTTCACCTATTCTTTTCTTGCAGAAGAGCAGTGTTGGTATGGAAATTAGCACCGGTTTCTTGGAACTTGCGGGGAAAAGAATTAACTCATTTCAAAGATTGGTGGCTTAATATGTGGGAAGGTGAAAAGTTGGCTTATTTTCTTGATCGAGTTCAGCTATCAGTTTATTTACTATGGTGGCTTTGGAAAACAAGAAACTTATGGATTTTCGAGGGTAAATGGATTTCGGAATTGGACCTTGTGGACAAAGCTTGGAAAGAATGGATGGAATTTGGTTTAGCTTCTTCTATTCTAATATCAACCGCTGTTCCCTCATGATCAAGATGTGACAGATTAGGGGAACCAAAGTCCCAGTGATCTTGCTATTCTTGAATTCTATTCGGCTGTACAGGTTAAAGATCTCTAGGGGATGCTTATTCCAGTGGAGTTCTTTTTCCTGCTTTCTTTGGTTTTGTTAACAGTGTCTTATCCTATTTTGATTAGGTCTCTGTTTATTAATAAAATTGATTTANAAAAAAAAAAAAAAAAACAAAGGTACACCACTTGTCCCTCATTTTAAGTTGAGTGCCCAATCATCGCCAAACTGTGATGAAGAACGAGATTACATGGCATCAGTCCCATATGCGAATGCAATTGATCAACAATGCTCTAGAAGTTTGTCTAATCTTTAAATTGATAGTATCAGTATAATTGTTTTAAGTATTTCTATGGGTTAAGTAGCATTATTTAGAATCACACTAAACTCAAAGGTGTTTTCACTAATTATCCCAGTCTTGAACTACATAATTGTTAGGTGTGAGCAATGGTAGACTTCGGTTCGACACAGTTTAATGTATCGAACCATACTGCATTACATAAAAATTGAACTGAACTTAATTTCACAGTTCAGTTCGAGTGCATTTTTTCTTATTTTTTCTTGATTGTACTATAAACTAGGATTTTGTTCGTGCAAAAATAGGAATAAAATAAAATAAAATAAAAATCGAATTTGAAAAAAAAAATAATAATCAAACCATACTACAACACGTAAAAAATATATGGAATAAAAAATTCATACTAAAACACAACACCAAAACATACTCTTCAGCTTGATTTGCTCACTCTTGATCAAAACAAGAGGAAAATATAAAAAGGGGGAAAAATTGTGGGGCTTACTTAGACAAAACAGTTAGAAATGGACAATTAGATAGGCAACCCCAAAAGAGTATTGTCTCTTTTAAGTGGACAAAGTATCTTTTACTGCCTTAGCTTCATCCCTCTACCAATAGAGACGCCCTTTGTACCATGTACCAAGAATCAGACGAAACGTTGATCTTTGTAAATAACTTTTCGAAATTTTCGTTATTTAAGGAGGCAAAATTTGAAAACGTAGTTTAATCTCAGGGGCTTTTTTGCAATTAAGATTGTTTTTCTCATCGATTTTTACGTTTTGAAAGGGAAAGAAAATAAAAATAGAGGTACAATAAAAGTGGCTTGTGAAAAATAACATTTTTTTTTCTTGGGGAGAACAAACTAACTAGAGGAATGGATATAGCCGAGTAGCTTTCACGCTTGATGCATGTTTAATTTGCAGTATTAATTGTTTGATTTTGAAGGAAGATTATTAATTGTTGGGGACACGAAAAAAGTGCTTCACGATTTACTGAAGATGGAAGCATTGTTTCAGGGTCCGTATAACTCTTGGTATGTGCATTAGCTTTAGCCTTTTTGAGTTTTGAAATTCGGGCATGAATATTGTGATGGAGATAGAAAATAGAACTTTTTTTTTCTTGTTTATCTTTTTGATCTTTTAATTTGTAATATTATAAAGATGCAATATGTAAATATGCGTTGAACACAAAAGAACCTAGTAACCTTCTTTTATAAAAAAGTTATTCGCTTGCCCAAGTAATTAACTTTATTACTAGAAAAGAGATCTTATCGTATCTCGTTTTCTGGTATGATACGTCTTTAAGATCTTCAATTCATTAGCCAGATAAACTTATTGCCTTAGAAGTCAGAAGGATTCTATTACCTTCTTTACTAGAGCTCAACAAGTCCCTAGGTCACTGTCTTGACCTTCTGACTCTGCGTCCTTTTTCCTTATCAGACTGTTCATACAACAACCCCTATTTTCTCAACGAGCTACGAGATAGATGCATCTTGCCAGCCCACGACCTGGGTTGTCCTGTGCCTTGAGCTATCTCATCGAACTCCTTTACAGGATCAAACCTACTATCATGCTAAGAATTGTCCCTGATCGGTGAAACCCGAGCTGATTACTCTGACTGATCTGCCGAGCTAATATGGGTGCTATATCAAATGTATAATTTTATTTCCACGTGATGCATTAAATTTTTTTAACTAAATTGTACATTTATAGGTTCTGTAGTATAAAAATATTGATACATTGATTTTTTTACCTTCCATGCATGTCCTTCCGTTCTTCAACTTCCATCCTCATATATTGTCATCTTAATTACAATTCATCTTGCCACTAATATTAACTTATTGCTAAAAAATCACGTTGCAAATAGAATAGAAGGGTCATGGTCAAAGGGCCAGGTTTTGAGACAGGACATAGATTCGATATTTTTGTCAACATTTTGGTTTTGTAGTTTTTTCACATCCACGCGCCTGTTAAAGTAACGCCACTAACACGAGGACGGACTACCTCGCACGATTTCGCATGGTGCTTCAAAAAGTCTTATGTTGAATAAAAACAATATAATAATATTGTATAATTTTTAATTTTAAATTAAATATACTATTAAAGAGAATATATGGAATTAATTAAATAATAAAATGTTGGATTATTAGTGGGATGACAAGAGAACAGAATGGTATGTTGAGTATACGTATATTGTGTTGTTTAATGCGAACAACTATTATTCAACAGAAGCAGAACCACCACCCATGTTTTACGCGCCTCGGGAGCGTAATATATTACTCAATTTCATTAAGAGCCCGTTTGTTTTGCTAGACAAGACAGATTATGACTCTAATCATAGGTCTATTTTATGTTTGTTAACCGACTGGCTCTCAATATTGATCCAGTCTGGATTGTGAAATGGTACTACTAAATAATCTCGGGGCCATGGTAAGATTATTCAACTAAGATCATGGTTGGATATAAATCCATCCCAAAAAATCTAATTATTTTTAACTCAACTGTTGTAGTAATTTTTACCGGAGTAGAATCGAAAAATTCGAACTCCGGGTCGTATCTCAAGGAAGGTCAGCCGGATTACTTGTACGGTTATTCAATCACACGAAAAAGAAAATAAATTCCTAAACACTCTAATTCAATGATTTTAATTTTCAATTATCAACTAATAATTCTCAAACAATGCAAATAAACAATTATCAATACTTAAAACGAGTTTCTTCTACGTATGAAGGCTAGGGAATCGGGGATGATTATACTCAAATCAAATTCAAACACCAAGCAAAAATTGTTCGGCTAAATGATTCAATCAACCTACACATCTAGAAATTATTCCTCAATAACTTCTCGTAACAAGAGGAAAAATATAGACGGCAAATCAAACCAATCAATTAACACGTAGGCAATACAATTACGAACAAGCCTACTCTAGTCGAGCCTGGATCGACCGACTTCTCCTCTTTCGGTTCTACAAGTCGATTAATTAGATCAGGATGGTGATCAAGCATCTAACCCTAAGTTTAAATCAACTCGAAAAGATTGAACGAAATTTACAAGCAAGATAAGCACACGAGTACTAGTAATCACCCCCTATCCCTAGCTTAAGAATTTAGCCACCCATGCCAAGATGAACACAAGACATAGTATAAAGTAAATACTCTAAACTCATAATCAAAATGAGAAGAAAGCTTACGATAAATAAAATTCAAGTGTTGAATCTCAAGCACAATCCAAATCCACGATGAAATCCCTTGGGTGTCACTCCCAAAAATCTCAAAATAAGCCAAAGATAAAAGGAACAAGTTTTTCGTTTGATAAAAACTACCCAAAAATGAAGTCTGAAGTCCCCTATAAAACCCTCATTCGATCCCCCTTAATAGGGAACGGATTTTAAGTTCAAATGTCCCAGCGCCGCGGTGCGAGGCTCCACCGCGGCGCGGTAGATGGCTCCACCACGGCGCGAAGCTGACGGCACGGCGCGACAGGAGTCTTCACCACGGCGCGAAGCTGACGGCATGGCACGGCAGAAGTCTTCACCACGGCGCGGCAGACGTCTTCGCAGCGGCGTGGCAGCATCGCAGCTAGAAGAGGCCAGTTACCTAACTCGCAGTCCAGGTCGTGGCACCTTCGCGGCGCGGGGTAGGTACACGGCGCGGCAGCTTGAAGAACTGATACTCGGGCTGATTTGTCTTGAAGGCCAGGACGTACGCTGCTCGGTTACTCGGTTATTTGACTAGCTTCAAACGTGATGAAAAACCTGAACCTGCACACCACCAAAAACGAAAGAAAAATACACGAAAACAGACAAAAGAGCAGAAACTATCGAAAATGAGAAATAAACGGCATACACACCAAACGAACGACGGATGGACCAAAAGAACTAAAAGATTCTTAAAAAGAGGGATAAAAACTAAAAATAACCAAAGGAAAAGATAACAAAAGTAGGACAAACATCAACCATTTTTTTAACTCAACTTTAATTCAACCCCACTATCATCAATATAATTAAATAATATCAATCAATCATTCTTACACACAACATCAACCTTAATTCACTATCCATCAACTCACATAATTTTAACTAACCATCACATCACATCTTCTCTCTCCTACGTTTACATTAATTTAATTTTAATCATTTTATTTTAAATATTATTTTAGTATACTCACTAACAACTAACCATACCAACTTTTTCAAATTTAACCAACCCAAACCAAAAATCCAATCAAAACAAAAACTTTGTATATCCAATCATGCTCTAAACGGTGCAAACATGTCAAAATCTCCAAAATATCCCCAATTCCCCTACATCATGACCATAATACCCTTTAATTTCAAAGGTTTTACAGCAGCACATGAATAACTCTCACCCATCTCAATTATTTTTATACAACAGAACTCTCACCTGAAGCGAGAAAATCGAGTCACCAGCCCGGCGGCGCCCCCAACTCGCGACGGATGGTTGATAAATGGAGCCATCATCGCGAGCTTCTGCGGATTCACATTCTGCGGTCGGCTGAAGGCGCTGATGTAGCCGGCGAGGATGGTGAAGTCGCCGTCCCTGTCGGAGTTGAGTCGGACGGGTTATTCGGGCCATTTTTCAAGCCCTTTCTAAGTACAAATGTTTCAAAGAACAAAAAGAAAAAGAAGATAAGTTGATTAGAACAGGAGAAAATGAATTGAGGTGCAAGAAAAGCAGCACTCTTCAAATTTTTCTTCCCAAATGAGGTGCAAGAAAAGCAACATCGGTAAGTTGCGTTAATGAGAGTCCTAATCCTTTTCATGCCCATAAGTTAATGAGAGTTTGCAAATTATTTAGATGATTCTCAATCAAAGAAACAAGAATACATCCAATTAATCCATTTGATCAGATGATCCAATGAGCAATTGACCACTACGAATATAATGGAGAAAGGACAATCTGCTTTCTAACCCGAGGTCCAGGTATTCCGGCACAGAGAGAGATCGTGCCAAAGCCCGATGAACAGACAGGGGTTGGGCAGCCCGCCACAAAAAGGAGGTCTAGCCGGTGAAGGCCAACTTAAGTACTGACCTGACTTACTTAACTTAATAGGCTTGCAGAGGAAAGGCCTAGCCCTTGGTAATGTAATTGACGAACGAAGCCAATCAAAGTGAAGTCACAGAAGTGACAAAAAATTTAGTATTTATATATTTACTAAGGGTTTTTTAAATATTTTATTATCGACCGTGGGACTCATTCTAGTTACCTACTCATCCACACCCAATAATTATATGTCACGTGGTCATTACCTCCCTCTCTCTCTCTCTCTTTCACACACACACACACACACACACTTACACAAATGCGTTTCTGCCGTCGCTATCGTCGATCCCGCCGTCCGCCATCTCTAGACTCGACGACTAAATCGAATTTCTGAATAAAAAAATTGAAATGACACATATTATGTCATGATATAATGTAATTTATTATCAATTATGTGCACGGGATGTGTACTAATTTTAAATAGACATTTTTATGTAATTTTGCACAATTTTAAATTTTATATAACATTAAATTATATAAGTACATTGGATTACATATTTCTATTTTATAAATATTATTTAATAAGAATTTTTAATTTATAAATATTAATTAATATCTCTTACCCGTGCATCACACGAGATAACGATGTTGACTTGAAATTGAATTAAATTTGAGTTAAAGAATCTGTTAAAAAAAATTAGATTTTTTTATATATTTTGTATCCAAACATTAGATAGATAGTTTAAACATAAAATTTCAAAGACTCAACAAAATAGGAAAAATTCAAACTTTTTACTCTTAATTACGCTTCAATTTCCTAAATTGGTCATTGTGTTATTTGTTGTATTTGTCGCGTGCTGTCAATCTTCGCAATATCCAACGTAATTTGGGGCAAAAAAGAAAGTAATTTTTAACTGAATAAAAGAAATTCGACAAAAAATTAGAGAAAGACTTAAAAGGACGAGCGAGAGTCACTTTTCCTTGTTCTTGCTTAAATTCTTATGGGAATCTCTGCTGATTCTGTCAAGCGCCTCTGCCCCAAGCGCTTCTTTGATGAAACCTAATCACGCGCTCATTTGGAGCGTGAATAACGTAAGCGTCCCTTCCCTGCTTCACGGGTAAGGCTTTGGGCTTTTCTACCAAATAAGGCGGTAGACTTGATTTTTATTTTGACCTGTTTTCTAGTCAAAAGCTACGGTTCGATTTTCCTTTTATCCAAATACACAACAACAAATAAATTTAATACATGCAATAAAAAAAGAAATATATGGGGAATAACAAATTTAGTTTATTGTCCCTACATAACTTGTTAATTTCTTATTTGATTTTGAATAGCATTATCATAATTACTAGATTACTCATTATTTAATTCTTTTTTTCGAAACGAAAGAAATATTATTTAATCTCACCTAATAAAAATTTGAAGGATGTTATCAATAAAAAGTTCAAAATTACAAATTTGCAAACTTGATTAGTTGATTATGATTGTTCGATACTTAGCATTAAATCAAATCTAAAAAGTAATTTGAAGCCATTATTTATCAAATAATTAACTTAAAAAGTTTTAAGTTGACCGTGAAACTTTTAATCCACCTCAAACATTTAATTTTAGCATATGTTTAATAAAATCAGCTGATAACTTATAAGTGATTTTTGAATTTATAATTGAAAAATTAGTTTATATAAAAATGTTTGTTAAATTAATTGATAAACTAATTGAAATAAAAATTTCAACGAGCTTATTTGAAAAACTACCCAAACAAACTTATAAGATAAATTCGAGTTTTTAATAAAGTTGCCTTTCAAACGAAACTTATTTGAATATAAAAAACTTATAGCCTAACCAGATAAGATAACTAATTTGTCTACTTGAGTCTCAAAACATTTATAACCACACAACATTCCATAACAAAAGTAATACTAGTAGAAAAGAATGATGTTAGGAGTACATACCATGTATTTTTTTTTTTAAAAAAGAAATTATTGCTCTGTCTTATAACATTTTTTTTTTTTCTAATACTTCAAATTAAATAAATTTGCAAATTCAGAAACTTTTTGAATCCGTTACTTTACATCGCGTATCCTCATAATCTCACCAATTTCACTTAAATACCCTCGATTTGATTATAATTCTCACCATCTTTACAGATAAACATGGAAAATATAATTTCCATTCAAAAAATCATAACGTTATTGTATGAATAGTTAATGAAATACCATAAAAAGATAACAAACACCACCCATGTATAGACTAATAGACATCCACAGAAAAAGCTATAAATCCACATTAAATGTCACATCTCACAAAACCACAAGATATATTTATTTTTCCGAACAATAAAACAAAACAAAGAAACAGCGATTGGGCACAACCGCCAACCCACACAAAGGCAACTCATCAGCTGCTGTGTTTCTTGCTTGCTTTTTTACTGCTCAAAAACACGAAACCCCATAAAATTTTCTCTGTTAAGCTTCATCCCCTTTTTTTCTCCCCCTTCTTCCTCATCACCAAACCCTCTCATTTCAAATATTTTAAAATAAAAAAATTGTAAAAATAAAATTAAAAAGGTGCCAACCATGCACAACGGCGGTAAAGAGAAGCTGGTGGTGGAGGTGGTGGCGGCGCACAACCTGATGCCGAAGGACGGCGAGGGGTCGTCGTCGGCGTTCGTGGAGGTTGAGTTCGAGAACCAGCGGCAGAGGACCCAGGTGAAGCACCGTGACCTCAACCCCGTCTGGAATGAGAAGCTCGTCTTCCACCTCGCTGATGCCGCCGACCTCCCCTACCGCACCCTCGAGGTCAACGTCTTCAACGAGCGCCGCTCCAACAACAGTCGCAATTTTCTCGGCAAGGTCCGCATCTCCGGCGCCGCCGCCGCCCGCCAGGGCGAGGAGGTCGCCCAGCTCTACACCCTCGACAAGCGCAGCCTCTTCTCCCACGTCCGCGGCGAGATCAGCCTCAAGCTCTACCTCTCCACCACGGAGGAGGTCAAGAGCTCCGCCGGCAACGACACCTCAGCCCCCGCCGGCAAGAAGAACAAGAAGATGCACCAGCAGCACCAGCAGGTTGGGAAAGGGCCGGTGGTCCTCCCCAAGCTGTCTGGGCCCGATTTCGGAAAATCGGGCCCGGGCTTCATGACCCAGACACTCTCAAAGCCCGTGGATCCCGGACCGGGTAACATGAAGCCCGTCGTTATCGCCGCCGTGCCGGGGCCGGTGGTCCCTTCCCCCTCCGGAGGCTACCACGGCGCCGCCGCCATCCGGGGCGGGCTCTCCAACGACTACGCGCTGAAGGAGACGAGCCCGCACCTGGGCGGGTCGACCCGGGACAAGGCGAGCTCCACCTACGACCTGGTGGAGCAGATGCAGTACCTCTACGTCAGGCTCGTCAAGGCCCGGGAGCTCCCTGTGTTCGGCGGCGGCGAGGTGGTGGCGGAGGTCAAACTCGGCAACTACAAAGGCATCACCAAACGTGTCTCGCTGGGCAGCTCCGAGTGGGACCAAGTCTTCGCCTTCTCCAAGGACTGCATCCAGTCGTCAGTTGTCGAAGTTTTCGTGAGGGAAAGCAGCAAGGAAGAGTTCCTCGGCCGCGTCTGGTTCGACCTCAACGAGGTCCCCAAACGGGCCCCACCTGACAGCCAGCTGGCGCCTCAGTGGTACCGAATGGAAGACCGCAAGGGGGACCGTTCCAAATCCGGTGAGGTCATGGTCTCCATATGGTTCGGAACCCAAGCCGACGAGGCCTTTGCCGAGGCCTGGCATTCGAAGGCGGCAAACGTGCATTTAGACGGCCTCTGCTCGATAAAGTCGAAAGTTTACCTCTCTCCTAAGCTCTGGTATTTAAGGGTTGGTGTTATCGAGGCCCAAGATGTGGTCTTGGGAGACAAAGGCTCGTCCATGAACATGGTGAGGTATCCGGAGCTTTTCGCAAAAGTTCAAGTTGGGAATCAGGTTTTGAGGACGAGGATAGCCTCGCCAGCTGGCAGTCGTGGGCTGTCGAACCCGTTCTGGAACGAGGATTTGATGTTTGTGGTGGCCGAGCCTTTCGAAGACTACTTGCTGATCTCGGTCGAGGATCGTTTGGCTCCGAGCAGGGACGAGATCGTGGGCCGCGTCATTCTGCCAATCGCCAATGTCGAGAGACGGTTTGACGATAAATTCGTGGTCTCTAGGTGGTTCAACCTCGACACTCACTCTCACACTCACCTCGGTAACCCTAACGACCCCAAGTCTCGATTCGCTTCCCGCATTCACATCCGAGCCTCTTTAGAAGGCGGCTATCACGTGCTCGACGAGGCCACCATGTACAGCAGCGACGTTCGTCCCACCGCCAAACAGCTCTGGAAGCCACACATCGGCGTTCTCGAAGTCGGCATCCTCGGCGCAACCAATCTCGTTCCCATGAAGATTAAAGAAGGCAAGGGAGGCTCGACCGACGCCTACTGCGTCGCCAAGTACGGGCAGAAGTGGGTCCGCACCCGAACCGTGGTCGACAGCCTGGCGCCTAGGTGGAACGAGCAGTACACTTGGGAGGTGTTCGACCCGTGCACCGTCATCTCCGTCGGCCTCTTTGACAACTCGCGCGTCGACAAGAACTACTCCGTGGCGGCCGGAAACAATACCCGGGACACGCGCATCGGGAAAGTCCGCATCCGCCTCTCGACTCTCGAGACCGACCGCGTTTACACCCACGCGTACCCGCTGCTGATGCTTCACCCGTCAGGCGTGAAGAAGATGGGCGAGCTCCACCTGGCGGTCCGTTTTTCGTGCGCGAACCTCTTCAACGTGCTCCACACGTACACCACGCCACTCCTCCCGAAGATGCACTACGTGCAGCCGCTGTCCGTGAGCCAGCTGGACAGTCTCCGGTACCAGGCCACGAGCGTGGTGGCCTCGAGGCTCGGGAGGTCAGAGCCGCCCTTAGGACGGGAGGTGGTCGAGTACATGCTCGACCACGATTCACACATGTGGAGCATGCGGAAGAGCAAGGCTAATTTCCTCCGGCTCACTAGCGTCCTGGCGTGGGTCGTGGCCGTGGGCCGGATAGTCGAGGGTTTGAGGACTTGGGCCAGGCCCGTTTACTCGGCCCTGTTTGTATTGGCGTACGCGGTACTTGTTTTGGTCCCGGAGCTTATAATACCGTGTGGGCTTCTGTCGACGGCTGCGGTTGGGCTCTGGAGGTATAGGCTGCGGGCCCGGAGCCCGCCACATATGGACACAAGGCTGTCGTATGCGGAAGGGGTGCACCCGGACGAGCTGGACGAGGAGTTCGACTCGTTCCCGACGAGCCGTGGGGCGGAGGTGGTGAGGATGAGGTATGATAGGCTGAGGAGTGTGGCGGGGAGGATTCAGACGGTGGTGGGTGACCTGGCGACTCAGGGGGAGAGGTTCCAGGCGCTGCTGAGCTGGAGGGACCCGAGGGCGACGTTCTTGTTTGTGGTGGTTTGTTTGGTGGCGGCTTTTGGATTTTATTTGGTGCCGGTCAGGTGGGTGGTGGCTTTGGGAGGGTTGTACTATCTGAGGCCGCCCAAGTTTAGGAATCGGATGCCGTCGAGCGCGGTTAATTTCTTCAAGAGGTTGCCGACGAATGCTGATAGCATGTTGTAGGGATTTAGGGAATCGGGCGGGTTTGGTAGTGGTTTGCGTTTTGATTGGGTTGTGGAGTAGTTGGACAAGTCTTTTGTTGTTGTAGTTTTTAATGTATCTCGTAGGTGGTTGTGGTATTTGGTAAGGAAAAGCTCAAGAGTGTGATTGGTATCTTAGGTTTAGGGATGGTTGTGTTGTTTATTTGGGGTTGTACTGATGGGAGCATATGTTGTACTTGTTTGTTATCCATTGAATATCCTGTTGTGCAATCTGGAAATGGAGCTCCTTTGGCTTTTGCAGTACTTAATGCATTACTGATTTTGTATTACAACAATTTCATTTTTCTTTTTCTCTTTTTTTTTTCTATTAATGTGAAGACTGATTTCTGCAGGATATGTTTCATACTCCGGTTAAAGTATCTGAAACTNTGAATACAAATTAATATACCAATATTGTGACCCACAAAACACACTTGAAAAACTGATCCAAGATTTCAGAGTTCGATCGTCGAATTATGAACGAATCAAAAATGAACAAGCGGAGTTCAGAATCACCTCCCGAGACACAATAAGAGCAGTTTCATGCAGTCTCCCGTCAAAACCCTCGAACTCCTTTAAAACCAATTCATTGGCATATACAACAGTCACACGCACTCCAAATTAACCGAGTCCGTGCGTACATGTTAAATGAATCTCAACATCAACAAGAATTAGAAGCCATTAATCCATCCCACCACCATTCTCCTCATCCCCTCAGCACAAGGAAAATCGGCACTGAACACCCCCACTCAAAAACACCCTAAAAATACTACACCTGAAAAATCCCACTCATCTCAACACCAACCAGTCCACAACTGTACACTTCGAAAACGTACAAAACACACAACAAATAATACCCTAAAACGAAGCATCGTACCAAGCACCACCACCCCAAGCGCGCCTCCCCAAAATCTCCCCATGCTCGCTAACACTCCCTTGCAGCCTATAAAAAGGCCTTTCACTCCTCACCGTCCTCAGCGGGCCTGACCTGTTCCGGGCCAAGCCCGAAGAAGAAACCGGCCCATTGCCCATCACCCCCAGAGGACCCGAGCTGTATTCCATCGTGACAAAAGACGTGGCCCTGCCGAGCGTCGGGCCAGGGGTCCCACATCGCTCGTTCCACCAACTGCTATCCGACTGGGCCGTAAAGTCGGGCTTAAAATCCGAGCCATGAGTTGATGAGTCCTCCTTGAGGCTCAAGGCATCGGCACAAGTCTCATCCGTGTCGTTGTAAATGAGCTTGAGGGCCTGGACGACTTCGCCCATGAAAGGGCGGTGGGTGACCTCCGGGTGAACGCACATGGCAGCAATGGCGGCCACCTTAGCCATGTCATCGAAATTGTAGGTTCCGGCAAGGGTGGGGTCCGCCAGCTGCTCGAGGCCATCGCGGTTGGCGAGGAGGGGCCGGGCCCATGTGACGAGGTTCTCCTGGCCTGGGGACTGGGACATGTCGACAGGCTTCCGCCCGGTGAGCAGCTCCAGCAGGACGACCCCGTAGCTGTAGACATCGCTCTTGACGAGCAAATGTCCCGTCATTGCGTATTCGGGTGCGACATACCTGCAATTAGGGATATAAGAAAATCTGATTATGCAAAATATTATTATTATTATTGTTATAGGATTCTTCATTGGGGGAGTTTAAAGAAGTAAGGATTTGTTGTCTTCTTTCAGTTCTATAGTTCCATTTAGTTTTCCCATTTTTCTTCTCTCTAAATTCTCAGTTATAATTTTAGCTTTCCATTCAGATTTAATCTACTTTTCCATTTTCTTTCACTATTTGGATTTTGTTCAAGGGAAGTCAAACAAGTGAGCATTTATCTTATAGGAAAAAGATGAGGGGATTTGATATATATATATATACAACTTCTGTATAGGTCTGAACTTTGGTATGATGGTCTCATACTGAATAAAGCAACACGAGAATGATGAAATCTTGTAGGGGAAAAAAAAGGAAAACAAAAATACCCGAAAGTGCCCATGACCCGAGTAGATATGTGACGACTCCCCTCCGTAGCTTCTCGTGCCAGACCAAAATCAGAGACTTTAGGGGTAAAGTCGTCTTCAAGTAATACATTACTAGCTTTAAAGTCTCTGTGAATCACACGAGGATTGGAGTCCTCATGAAGGTAAGCCAATCCTCTCGCCGCACCAAGTGCAATTTTTAGACGTGCGTCCCAATCCAGAGGCCCCTTGCTTCTGTCATCACCTGATGACATCAGCCGACACATTTTAAATCTGGATCTTCCATGCAGATTTTGCAACATAGAAAATTTAATAAGACAACATATGCATACCGTGCAAGTGGGACTCGACACTGCCGTTTGGGACTAGCTCGTAGACCAAGCAGCGTTTCCTTTGCTCGATGCATATGCCGATGAGCTTCACGAGATTACGATGATGCAGCCGGCTAAGCATCTCGATCTCAGCAATGAATTCACGATCTCCATTTTGGTTGTCCCTTTTCAGTAATTTGACGGCTACCTCAGTCCCATCTGGCATCAGCCCATGATAGACCCGCCCAAATCCTCCTTCGCCCAAAACCTTATTCAGGCTGAAATTTTCTGTGGCCTTCTCAAGTTCCGTGAGCGAAAATGTCTTCACAGAAAGAACGGAAGCGGGCATGGCAGATATGAGAGAAGTTGATGTCGAGCTGGTTGGGCTACTCGATCGCATAGAACCTAATCCTGCGACACCACAAAGGGACATCATATAAAATAAAATAAATAAGGCACAAAAATGACATAAAACGAGCAGTCTTTTAATAGAAGTTTCAGAAGAGATTTGTTATATATGAGAAGAAAAGATCCAGCTACAGAAGAACTACTTATCATCTAGACATAATAGTACAAACAAAGCCTGTAGGCATACCTAAATTTTTTTTCGTAGAAGAAGTAAATACTGGACCGACAACATTAGATGGTCGGCGTGCAGTCCTGCACTTTAATAGCACAGCTACAGCAGCACAAGCAACCACCAAGAGCACAAACGTGGACAACACAATGACGATAATTAGTCGAGGGTTTATCTTCTGATTATTTCCAACAAAGTCTGCAGTAACAGGGTACTGTTGATTTCCAGCACTTCCATTAGGACCCTCACTGAATGGGGGTGAAGAAGGGAGTCCTGCAGAAACTACTTTCAGTATTTGCAAGAGGAACCAGATAAAAATAATATTTAATAGCAATATAAATGTACCTGGATACGAAATGTTCATTACATCATAATCGCCAAAAAGGGTCTTATTGAGGGCCACTTTCTTATATAAAAACCTTTTGTAAGTCAGCATAGCGGTTGTATCATCAAACTTTTCCCCAAGAGGAATTAAATATATATCAACCACTGCTCTTTCCGGGTTTTGAGTATCTGCATTAGCTCCAATGATGGCTACTTGACTTTGTTTAAGATATGTCCCTGCTGCAACCTCAATCTCTAGTTCAGTAACCTCTGGGAAAATAGCATAGAGGGGTACCCCCAAAAGAAGTCTGACTCTCATTGGGATCACACACATACAAGGTGAACCAAATGGAGCTGAGGTTAGTGGCTCGGTGCAAATTGGATTACAACCTGCCAGATTCTTTTATCAAACACCTCTCCACACAGTGAACGGAAATTAAACATAATGACCAGGATGTTAAGGGCAGAAAGGTGAAGATTTGTTAATTGCATATGCCACTGATATGTTCGGCAGAAACTGACTGTCACACATGGAGAAACTTATTGTAACAACCAATACATTGTTGAGTCTCTTGCAGGTCAGCTACCTAAACAAGATCACATAACTATACCAAGGGACAACCTGAAAAGCAACTAAGAATCAAGTTTTGAGATTTAGCAGGCATGACCTTTGGATCAGTCCCACTACAGGAAGCACAATAATCAACAACCATCCAATAACCTGTTGATGTGAAGTTTCTAAGTTTTCACTTTGACCATGAGATTTTTCTGTCCTTCAGTGTTCAAGTTACATGATTTAAGATTAAGTTCTTTTTATGGACAATGTTCTTGTACTTTGAATAATAGCATGAACCCATGCTGGAGTCTGTTTTCTGAGGTCTCCTGGTCAGTAGCTCTTTCTTTCATTATATTTATACTTAAGAAATTCTTGAAATTTGAACACTACAATATTCTATGGCATGACAATACTAGACTGTCACCACTCACCAAGACAGGAAAAGCACTGATTGAATGTGTTAATAACTAGCATGCATTAATCTTAGATCTTGACCATTCAAATAAACTTTCTTAAAAGAAAACAATTGAAATAACACAGTGTTAAGGATGCTCAATCGCAGTTGTAACTAAATAAAAAAAAGTATAGGACCAAATCCAATTGATCAAATACTACTAGGCCTTTCCAAAATCCATGGAATCTCTCAGCATGTCTAGAGACATGAAACAGATCGAGTAGATGACTTTTGGGACCAATGGCTAAGGAATCATTAGAACTACATAAGCTGGTTTAAGAAAATAATAAAATAGATCTCCTAGGATCTAATAGGTTCAAGTTGCGCATTCAAGAGCTTGCCTCTTATAGCATCAAAACCATGCTGTCATGATAAAGAAGAGCAGCAACTTTACATTAAATCATGTTATTTATTCACATGTTAAGGTTATCTTCATAGTTGAGTATACACCCCTGCAACTATATACTAATTAATTCCCATCAGAAAAAGTGCCATTAAATGGGCTCATTATGTATATGCATCAAAAAAATATTTCACACTGATGAAACGTTTCGTGCATGGATACTAAATGGCTCATTTCTTTACACCAACATATAAGAAAACTGGACCACTAAAAATCATTGAATATAAACATCCGAGTATAGTTAAGAGGGGAAAATAGATCGTTGACCAAAACATTTACCTGGATTAGTGGAAGTAGAGGGAGAAATCGCATAAACTCTAGTTCTATGCCGATGATGGCGATGCCTAAGCATAATACCAGTACGACTAGTAACCGGGCCTAAGATATAATTGCATATCAGATTATCAGAAAAAAAACTGGTATGATTCTACTAGAGGTCAAATATAGAAAACACCATCATTACCTAGTGACACTGGAGATGGAGTAGGGGCAGCTGATAAATATTTATTATGTTGCCTTCGGGTAGTGAGAAATGAACTAAAATGTTCACCAAGCGATCCTGCACTCACTGCAAGGAGCAATGACATCCTATATCAGTAATATTCATGTGTACTCCCAAAGCCACCATAGGATAATACAGATCGCTTAAAAGAAATAAAAGGAGATTCAAATCAATATGTTATTCACATACAGATTTATCTCACACCACAATCAATATATCTACATAACTACAATCAATGTGTTACGGGAGGGGGGGATTGGGTTACACTACAGAAGTCACAAATTCCAGCAATGGGATACACATTGCTTGTTATGTACCATGCTGAAGAGCACTTTTCGTCCCAAAAGGTTGAAGGGGCAAGTGAGAAGGAGATAAGTAGATGACCTGTGAAGCAGTCCCTGACAAACAAAAGTCAGGCACAATGATCAGTTCACAACTAAAGGGAGAGAAGGGTTGGACTCGTCACTCTTAACATCCTTTCCTGTAGCAAGCGACACACTAAAGCAATTTTAATAAGCAAAAGTTACTGTCACAGGTTGCATTGGGGATTGAGGGTGCGGATGGGAAAGGGTTGTTAAGCAGACAATAGATAAATCCACCACAAATTAATAAGCCATCAAAATATTCCATATTAAGTCATCAAATAGGAAACCCTTTACACTTTAGAAGGGCCTCACTCTCATCATCTAAAAGTTCATAGATACTACGATGATGCATAATCTCATGACTGGGTTTGCTGAAAGTCAGCACACGGAATTCCTATTTGCTGGAAGGATTTGAGGAACAGCTGGCACATTATCACCTTATCATTTCAAATCCAACATTTTACCTTAAACAGAATTTTCAAGCTGTCCCTTTAAGACAAAGTGGCAATTGGATAAGCAGTAACAGAAAAAGTTGTTGTAGACAACCTAAGTNAAAGGAAAAAAAGGAAGGAGCAGAAATTACCTAAATTAGTAGAAAATATAGCGAGCAGAACAAGAAGAAGAAGAAGAAGAACACGGAGCATCTTCTCTCTCCAGAACGCAATTCACATACATTTTATCTCACACCACAACACCGCAGCTGGAAGCTCGCCGTGGAACTCTAGGGTTCCGACGAGGCCATTTCCGCCTACATAAGCTCCCATTCACTTCTCTACAGAGACACAAAATTCGCATATCAAACACGAAGCAGATTTTGAGCATACCAAGTACCAAATCCTAGCTCAATAAACAGCAATGCCGCTGATTCCAGCGAACAATTGTAGATCCAGGATGTGCGTCAGGGTTCTAGAGCGAGAATTCCAGCAAAAGTTTAAAAATTAGGGGAAATATAAACCGATGGATATTAGGAAAGCAAAGAAATGTACAGGGATTGAGGGCCAGGTTTGTGACTGAGATTGTAGAGAGAGAGTGATGAATGGGAGTGATGGAAGGTGGTAGACTGGTAGAGAGGCTTAAATGACGGTGGAGCCACCACCACTGTTATACGAGAACTGGACCTATGTTTTTATTTTTTTTTATTTTTTTATTTTTTTTTTTTCTTTCAACCNAACCTATCAACTAGTACAACACTCATGTATTACATGGTAGAGATGGTGTCTCATTCAGGACGACGGATTCATAAAAGTGGGATGGGTATCCGGACAAGTCAAATCCAGGATCGTCCCGGACGTGCCCACTCCTAACATAAATAATCAACATATTTATAGATAATTCGAACCTAAATTAAAACTATCCAAGCCTAATAACGAAGCATGTAATTTTGCCACATAGGATCCCGAAGCATGCGAGTCTGCCACATAGGCTCAACACGTTCTCAATTAATATATAGGGGGAGAGGGATTACATAAATGGGTACTTGTAGTTTCCCGAATGAATTGAAAGGATATTAGGGAAAATAGTAATAAACTAACAAATATAAATTATTATTTGTTTATAATTTTTTTTAATTTATATTCAATTCATACTTAAAATCTAACTTAATTTTAATTCAACTTCACTATCTTCAATATTATCAATATAATTAAATAATATCAATCAATCATTCTTACATATCACATCAACTTTAAATCACTATTTATCCGTTCATACAATTTTAATTAACAATTACTTCAAAACAATGTTTTAAATACCGTACCGCTAGTCATACCGGTCTAGCCATCGACACGCGGTATTATCAGTTGAATCGGTAATATCGATGGTATTACCGGAGTAGCAAAAATGATATACATAAATATACATAAAAATATATAATACCAAATGCAAAAAAGTAAAAGCATAAACGATGACCATAATCATTAGAACTTCTCAATAAAATAAAAATAAAACATTCTAACTACCAATTTAAATTTTATATTTTTAAATTAATAAATCTTATTTTTTTATTTGTTGACCGATATTTACGGTATGATCACGATACAAACCAGTTTAGCCGTAAATTCGGTATTTTGTGTGTAATTATACCGTACCAATGGTCGGTATCGGTATTACCGGCCAGTACCGTACAATATTTTAATCACCGCTTCAAATCATTTCTCTCATACTTTTACATCAAATCAAATTTATTTATTTTATTTTAAATATTATTTTAATATAAATTCAAAATCTCACTAACAATAAGAGCACCCACAATGCATTGAGTCTCTTAATAAAATATCATATGTCATGCAGGAAATAGACATAGTCTATAAAAAAATATCTCTCTATGTAATTAAGAGTGAACATGGTAACGATAAAAAAAATGAACATGGTATACCTTATGTGGCAATTCAAAAAATAGATCAAACTCACTCTTGGGGTCTATTAACCTAATACTCAACATTTATTCTTAGTTTAATTTTTCAATTTATAAAGGACACATATTAGAGCATTTTTATCGATTTGCAAGTATTCCAAACCTCATATTTTATTTTGTCCATGTCATTTAGAACTTAAGTCCATTTATATGCCACATATGTAAAATTAGACTCATGCATTGTGGGTGCTACCACATTTTTTGAAATTAGCTCTGGTTAACAAAAAAACTCGTTTTAAGAAGATATATTTGTATCCAAGCACGCCCTAAGACTCTCTCTCTCTCTCTTCCTCCCAAATCCCCCCAATTCAAAATTCAATTTCTAATCGTCGCCTCTTCTTAGCTGCACTTTCCGCACGGCCCAAGCGCCGGCATCACCGGACGACGTAGCTCGTCCCTCCAGGTGTCGCGGCTCCTTCCCTGGCATAGAGTTTCATCGCACTCGTCAGTCGTCTCCAACATGGTGAGGGTTCCGGTGGTGCTGAGTTGCAACGAGATGCGGGCCCTTCTGACTCCTGTCGGGGCTAAGGTATGGTTCCCCTTACCCTTTGCATGTCTCCCTGATTTTTTTGGAGGTCGGTGGTGGTTGGCTGGTGCGGTTGGTAGGCGGACGACGACTTATGCCGTCTGATGGGCTTGCGGGTGTTGTAGGTTGGTTGGTGTGAGTATCGTCCTGCGATCTCCGATCTAGGGGTGGTCCATCCGGAAGAAGATTTTGATTGTCTGGTGCGATTTCAACTAGTCGTGGATACACTAGAGTTTTTGGTTAAGTACTCGGGCCAGAGTTCTATCCAGTGTTATTTTAAAATATATAATAATATAAATATTTTGTAAAAAGTATTTAAATTTTAAAACATTTTTTCTTATTATTTCTAAAATTTAAGAATAATTTTTTTAGCAAACACTCATTTAACACTCGGATATTGTACTAATATATAATAAGACTAAAAAACACACGATGACCATAAAAAGATGCAATATCTTTTAAATGCAAGTATGTTGAATGATTCATGCATCAGCGTATTCGTAGGTGTAAGAATCACCTTTAGATGGTTTAAGGGTCGAGAACATCTTTTGAGATGTGGTTGGTCGGAAACGGGTGCAATCGGCCGAGCCAAATGCTATGTACAACCAGGGTTGCGACCGCGTCCTAGCTGTCATTAGCCAGAGCACTTGCCATTGTGCTTTTCCAAGTCCACTCGTTTCTGAGTGTAAATAATTCTAAATTACTTAAACTCAATTTTTTCTATATTTGAGCTCATGATGTTTTACCTTGAATTAATTTATCAATCATCCTAAACTGACTTTTAGATTCTCTTTTTTCCTTTGTTTACGAAAAATGAAATTGCAAGATTTATTAAAAAAACAAATTTTCTTCTATATATTGTAACAGACCATAGTGAGGTTTTATGTTATTAAATTCAATTATTCTATGACATTCATAACAGGTGATTGTTTATGAATTTATCTAGCAATTAATTATTTTTAACTATAGTTAATTTTGAAAAAAGTTGATATGGTTAGTTGTTAGTGGATATATTAAAATAATATTTAAAATAAAATAATTAAAGTTGATATGATTTAAATGTAAGAGAAAAATGATTGGAAGTGGTGGTTAGTTAAAATTATGTGAGTGGATAAATAGTGAATTAAAGTTGATGTGATGTGTAAGAATGATTGGTTTATATTATTCAATTATATTGATAATATTGGAAATAGTGAGATTGGGTTAAATTTGAGTTAAATTTGAGTTTTGATTGTTTTTTCTTATAAGTAAATTGATAAGCAATCACCCTTTTAGAAGTTAGAATTGTACTACTTGATTGGTTATCTAAATATATTGTTTTTCTGATATTTCGAAAAGGGAGATGCGGAGTAATGGGTGGAACTATGGAAGGCGTTCCCGTTTTTTCTCGTGTTGATGATGTTTTACATTGTATGTATTTATACAGACTTTATAAAATATTCTTTTATTTTTGTCTTGAGGCCTATGTTTGAAAGCCATGCCAGTCAATCATCATATGGGGTTACCATAGTTATATAATTGAATTAAAATAGTGACTAAATGTGGATTACTAAATCTTGTATGTTTTGTAGTAATAATGGAATGATTAAATAAATATAGAGAACTTTGATTTTAACCATTATTAGTACAATAATGGGTGATCGCTAAGAAATAATGACTGATGCATCGCGCCCGCTATGAACACGCAGCCTCACGCCTGAAGTCTTGCTCGTGCGTCTCATTGTTTGCACCCATCACGCCCGCAATGGGTGTCGTTACTTGGACGGACCTGGACATGTTTTCGCCCTCTCGTTTTGAAACCATTTAAATGGAGACACGTACCAGACGACCAGGACATCTTTAAACACACCAAGAACAACAAATAAGACAAATTAGAAGGCTCCAGAACACCAAAAACTTTTTGTAAACAGTTTTCTCATATTTTTTCTCTATTTTGCTTTTAGTTGTGCTTGAAATTGTTAGAACTGAACATGTGGGGAACAAACACTTGATCTCCCATTGTTGTAAGTTTTCGTTTCCCTATTATAACTGTTGATTGAATGCAAGTTTTCAATTTTGATTAACATGGAATTCCATAGAGCACGAGTTAATTCATTCACTTAGTACTAAGGATTTGTGATTATCTTATTGATTCGTGTTCAACACGTGATAATTCAAGCCTGCTCAAGTTATTTTCTTTTTATGACTAACTGCTTGATCACCATCTAGTCTAGGTTCATAATCTAAAAACCTTGAGGGGATAGGATATCCGACCATAATTAGAATAGGGTAACATGTTCGTAATTATAATGTATATGGGTTCATTGACTGAAATACGTGTTTGTCTATGTCCGAACCCTTCTTCATAAAAGTATCCGGGACAGATCTATAGGCTTGTGTGTGTCTGCTTTTACTTGCTCTTTTATGTTCAATCCTATGTTACGAAAGTTATTGAGAGTGAACTGCTAGGATTTATCCTAGGGGAGAGTCTCAGTCTTTAGACCCATCAATCATACAATCAACATAGATTTAGGACTTGATAAGATTATTCCCGATGCTCTAGATTTTATTCTATTTATCTATTTGTTTTATTATCATTCAATTGATGTTTTAGTTCTTGATCCTTTTTAAATAATTTATCCAACAAACCATGATGAGAATGTTGAGGAGCTTATTTTCTTTTTTGTGTGGTTGACACGATTCTAGATTCGCAACAACCTTCTCGAGAGATCAACCCAAGATTGAGATTCATTATGTACTCGATAAAATAATAATTTGTTGCAACACTATTGCCGGAGCTCGAGGATTGAGACATGGTTAGTGTTGGTAGAAAATATAGACATAGA